ATAAAACAAAATGTGAGTCCTTCCCCCACATGATAAACAAAAGTCATTCCAGGGGAACTGCAGACTAGAAGTTTAAAGGCAAAACAAAAATGCTTCCGGAAAACAGAGCGCGGAGTGTTCCTTATGCTCATGACTTTGGGGTAGGGGACTTTCTAAACATATTTAGAAAAATACACAAAAGAAAAATACACAAATCCTAACAGCAAAAGCTGATAAATCCTACTACAGTAAAATTGAGGACTCTTTTGATGGGTTAAGGAGGAATGAAAAGTAGAAATTACAAAGTATTTAGCAGTTAATGAGAACCCAAGTGCTACAAATCAAAACCTCTGAGATGACACAGGAAGTAATTCTCAGAAGGGATGTAGCCCCTCAACCGCATTCATCTGAAAGCAAGAAAGATAAAAAAAAAAAAAAATAAGTGAACCAAACTTTCCACTTTTGGAACCAGAAAAAGAACAACAAAATAAATCCAAAGAAAATAGCAGGAAAGAAAATAAAAGCAGAAATTAGTGAAACAGAAAGCAAACAAAAACAGAACAAAATTAAGGGTTTGATTTTTGAAAAGATGAATAGCATAGACTGTCCTTCCCCAGAAAGCACCAAGAAAGGAAGACAAATAAACAACATCGGAATCAAAGAAAGACGGTACAACCAAGAGATTAAAAAGACGATTAGGAACAACTTAATACCCCAAATTTGAAAACCTTGATGAAATGGACACTTTTCTAGGAAAACATTTATTAGCAAAATTGGCCCAGAAAGAAAGAAAAGTGTGAGTAGGTCAATAACCAAAAAGATGAAATATTAAAGACCTACCTCCCCAAAGGCATGTGAATTTGTATTATACGTAAAAAACAAAACAAAGACCTCTAAGCTCGACAACTATAAACTATAAATGCAGAAGAACATCTCCATGACCTTGGAGCAGGGACAGCCCTGCTAAATGGGAGAAAACAGAAAACTCATGGAGGACAATGTTAATACATTTGACCATTTATATTGGAATATAAAACACCTATGCTACAAGATACTTTTAAAGAGTTAAAAGCCCAGCAGCATGCGTATTTGCTCCGTTTGTGTATGTTTGAGGCAAAATGTTAGCATCTAGAATATGTAGCAGACTCCGACATGCCAGTAAGAAACGACAACACAGTAGAAATGGCCCAAGGGCTTAACAGGATTGTCACGGAAGCCGCACGCCTCCACATGGCCGACCAACACTAAAAGCCGTGCAACGTGAAGTTAAAACAACAGCGAAACCCGATGTCCACCCATCAGGTGAGCAAACACATCCCAAAGTCCGATAATAGCAGTGTTTGACAGCTTATAGGGCAATGAATATGCATCCTGCGCTGGGCAGAGCCACTTTGTTAGTGACTGTTAAAACCGAAAATGTGTACATTCTCTTGTTAGTGACTTTACTCCCATGTTTTTACCTTCAAAATAAAAAAATGTATGCGTGCCCAAGAAGGTTTATACAAAGATGTTCATTTTAACATTTAAAAAACAATAGCAAACAAATGTTTGCTATGTTGCTATTTAATTTTTTTTTTTTTTTTGAGACAGAGTCTCGCTTTGTTTCCAGGCTAGAGTGAGTGCCGTGGCGTCAGCCTAGCTCACAGCAACCTCAAACTCCTGGGCTCAAGCGATCCTACTGCCTCAGCCTCCCGAGTAGCTGGGACTACAGGCATGAGCCACCATGCCCGGCTAATTTTTTGTATATATATTTTTAGTTGGTCAATTTCATTTCTTTCTATTTTTAGTAGAGACGGGGTCTCGCTCTTGCTCAGGCTGGTTTCGAACTCCTGACCTCGAGCAATCCGCCCGCCTCGGCCTCCCAGAGTGCTAGGATTACAGGTGTTGCTATTTAAGCGTTCACTCATCAGTAGATGGGTGAGTCCACTGCGCTGTGTTAAAATGATAACATGTTAAGTAGCAGCCGAATGAGAGCTACATACATTAATATGGCTCGATTTCAAAAATATTGCTTGGTGAAAAAGGCAAGATGCAGAACTATTTGTACAATACGATACCGTTTTTATAAAATACAAACAATCTGATAGAGCTCCAGGTACATGTACTTATTAAAGAACATGTATGCTTTAAACATGTATGCCTGTATGGGAAAGTATTTTAAAACATCAGGAAGTATAAAGGCCAAACTGATACCACTGGTGGAATACTGGGGGATCTCGGGCAGGGGGGACTAAGTAAGCCAAGAGAGGTGGATAAAAGGGAACATTAATTTTATCTGCGATGCTTCACATTTTTTTAAAAGGAGAAAATGAATGTAATGTGTCAACAGACAAAATTACAACAGATTTAAGTTATCGGCCTAATTGGCTTTTATTTGTGACTCGTGAGTCAGGGCAGCCTCCATTCTACAAAGCAGAGCGAGAGCTCCCACTGGGCCAGGGCAGTGGGGTTTGCAAAGCGGGAGCCAGGAAATGGAATTGGGAAGAAAGCTGATCGGTTAAGAGCAGGTGATTTTTTTTTTTTTTGGTAAGGGTTAGAGCAGAGGGGACTTCCTTATGAGGCTGACTAAGGCAGACTGGAATCTCCTGTCCTCAGGAAAAACGTGTTGGTTTTGGGATCCACCTGCTTCCTTGACATTTCAGTCGATTGCTTGGCATTTAGCATGGGTGACTCCATCGTGGTCCGGTCTGTTGACCCTCGTGCAGGGGCACACTCCAAAACACTGGCCCGCCGTCGCTGTGTTTGGCAGATATTTGCGCGATTACAATAATAATATCGGGGAGACGCCAGGGCGTGCACCCCGGGGGACGCCGTGTTACTGTGGGGTGAGCCTGAAGCAGACGGGGGCCCACGGCCGGGCGGCGTGCAGGGCGTGGGCAGGGATTTCCCGGGCAGGATGCTCCAGCAGGGCCCTCGCAGGGCCTGCAGCGGGTGTGAGGGTGCGCTGGGGCTGGAGACAGGAGCCAGCCTCGCACTCTGCAGGGTGAAGCCTTTTCTGAGCACGGAGGACAACTCTATATGGAACAACAATTGCAAAGTTTTTAATGTGTTTTTTTGTCTTTGCCCCAGCTGGTCGGAGGCATCTGTCTGAATGAAGGGAAAGTGGGGTTGACTGCAGAAGGAACGCAACAAGAAAGAACAAGGTAATGAGATTTTGCCAAAAAAAAAAAAAAAAAAAAAAAAAAAAAAATTTAAAAAAAAAAAAAAAAAAAAAAAAAAAAAAAGATAGCAGCCTTGGAAGGCAGGCTGCTGTTTGGAGAAGCTTTTCTAACTTTCAGGATTTAGTCCCACTCATCTTAGTTACATTTGGCTACTGTGATAAATACCAAGGGAGACAGAAGTTTACTCCTCTGGCATAAGAGTCTGGACATAAGCAGTCCCGGCGACACCGTGGTCTCTGCTGTCGGGCACCGAGCCCCCGTCTGCATCGCTGCTCTGCAGCCTCCTCCAGTGGCTCCCACCTCATGGTCCCAGATGGCTGCCGCAGCGCCCACCATCACACCCTCATGCCTACCTGGCAGCCAGCAGGAAGCAGGGAAGGAAAGTGGAGGTCATGCCCATTTGCCTTGTAGGCACCACCAGAATTGCACACATCCCTTCGTTTCCTGTCTGGAAAACCAGAAGTTGCTCTTGTGGTTCCTCTAAACGGCAAGTTTATGAGCACAGGACTGGCGGCTTCCGGGAAGCCGGATGGGCAGCCCGAAGAGACGTTTGGTGGGTGTTTCGGATTTCAGGGTGGCGGGTGGTGAGGGAAGATTATTGGTCAGGGCCCGATATCTATGTGGAGAGATGACGCGATCGGGCTCCCCCTCCTAGTGGAGCAGTTAGGGTGGGACAGAGGTGAACTGGTGTGGCCAGGGCCGTCCTGAGAGGTCTGGAGGCGCAGAGGGGAATAGTGAAATCAGCAAGGGGAGCTGGGACAGGAGGACAGTGGGAAGGGGCGACTTCTGTGGCATCTCCACTTGAATCGTCCTCACCCCTCCCACAGACCCCCCTGCAGTTCTAGGGTTCCCCAGTATCATTCCAGGGGTCCTGGGGCAGTGCTCCGTGTCGGGAGATCCTAATGGGGGGAGCTTGCCAACAAGCCTCCGAATGCAAGTGGGGTGCTGGCACATGGTTACCCCAGTGAACAGGAAAGTGGCCTCGGGTGGACTTAGAAAATCTCACGTGTGATGTCCGTGGCATGTTAAGGGCTGCTCCAGTGTCTGCTCACCACTCTTAAAATAGTTAATTTTTGTAAAAAGATAGCTGTTTAATTTAGATTTATTCAGGGTTTCCCACTTAAGGAGAACTCTCTTCCCCTGTGACATCCATCCACGAACAGCCTACGGTTAGTGCTCCGTGGATTCTGGTGGGAAGGTCGCCTGCAGAGAAAGCTCAGCCTCTGCTCTCTTAGCACCTGAAGAGTGCTCCCTGCCCCTCGGCCGTAGCCAAAACCTGTGGGCCTCGTGAAGAATAATATATATTGATCTTTGCTGTGAGCTATTTGGGTGGCTGCGTTTATTCTTGAGAATAGCCCTTGCCACGTGTGCCCAACCAGAAGCCACGGTGACTCTCCCGCGGTCAGGGCGCTCTGGTGTCCTTGATTTGCACGTGTTTCTGTAGTTTACGTTAAATAGGGTAAGCCAGAGAGCATCTCTCCCCACATGCAGGGAAACAAGGCTGTTTGCTCCTGAGCATTCTTTACCTTTTTATTTTTTATTTTTGAGACCAGAGTCTCACTCTGTTGCCCAGGCTAGAGTGAGTGCTGTGGTGTCAGCCTAGCTCACAGCAACCTCAAACTCCTGGGCTCAAGTGATCCTCCTGCCTCACCTCCCGAGTAGCTGGGACTAAGGCATGCACCACCATGCCCGGCTCATTTTTTAGTAGAGACGGGGTCTCACTCTTGCTCAGGCTGGTTTTGAACTCCTGACCTCGAGCAATCCGCCCGCCTCGGCCTCCCAGAGTGCTAGGATTACAGGCATGAGCCACCGCGCCCGCCTCCCTTTTTATTTTTAACTTAAAGTTCCTTCTTTGCCTAGAATCGAGGAGGATGAAGAAGAGGCAGTCTTTTCGAGAAGTGGTCAGTTTTACGCCGGCTCCTTTGCCAGGTAAGGAAGGCCTTGAGGGCTGC